CTAAGAGAAAGCCTAGCAGCACTCATCAAGACTACCTTCTAAGTGTTCAGCTGTGAGTTAATGGAATGCTTTATTTAATCCTTAGTAAACAGAGATCAAGAAAAATGTAAAAAGAACAGTGGCACTTAAACATATTAAACAATCCCCTTCAGCCTATAGGAAAACGGTGATACAACATGCTATATACCTCAGTGACAATATTTTCCTAAGATGCTATAACTTCTCTTGTCCTTTGTGGTAGCATATACATTTAAATAAAACACCATATAAAAGATACACTTCTTTTCTGGGGGCAGGGTAGCGGTGGTGCTTGATCCTTGGTTCCAGAGGGCTCTTATCTCCTGGTACAGTATGATTAAGATTCCCTCCCCAGAACCGCCCCCCCCCCCCGAGAAACCAGCAGGCCTGTGGTGGCAAAGGAATCTCTCAGGATCAGACTTTCTCCTTCAAGTCAATGCAGAAGACCACATGGCCATTACTGACAATTTACCATATAATATACTTTATGTACTGTATTTTGAGTTAAATGGAAGAGTTAAGGCACTTACTCTCAGACCACAAAGGATACTGCTACCAACTATACTATCAAAAAGATTACACGATGATGAAAATATAAAACTACATGCTACTGAATCAATGTTACATAATATTAAATGCTTAGCATGCAGAAGATGAAGCTAACTAAACACTTCTTTTCTAAGCAAAGAAACAGAGTTACATGCTATAAGTCCCACACCTGAAGCCTACACAGCACCCTTCACCAGGGTCACACAGTACCCTTCACCAGGGTTACACTGCCTAGCCTAACTTAAAAAAGCAGTACGTTGATTTAAATGGAGAGCAATACTTAAAATGTACTTTTAGATGAAAGGCAAATCAATTAGGTAAAAATTAGGCACTTGAAACTAAATGCAGCTAAATAATTTTACATATACACTTTTACTGATAGTCATATCTATAAGCACTCACATGGGAACTTAGAGAATAAACATGTTTTTTATGCAAAGAGCTACTTACTAAATGCTTAATTTGCAGTTTAAAAGAAAAAAGCGCGATTCACCAAGGCTACCTGCTGTACTAGTAACGAGGCCAATGAGAAACTATTTTCCAGCTCTGGTAAGAGCAAGGGTAAGAGAAAGCCTACAGCTTGCTGGCTCTACTTTACCAGAGCAATAGAGCAGCCTCCAGCACAGGGACCAATAGAATAATAACAGTATTAAACTCAGTGACCAGGCTATCAGATGCCAGCAACAGACCACTTGGCAAGTCAATTTTAAAACAATTCCTTATTACTCAAAAGAGCTTCACTGACTTAATTTTCCCTATCCTTTGCTGCTTCTAAAGATTTGTTTTTCTTAACATTCAAGCAAGGAGCCTCTTCTTGAGCCTTCATAAACCCAGTATTTGCAGTGTCTGTCAGAACTGGTCTGCACTGACATACTGTACTATTGAGGGTTGCCTTTAATTTTTACTTATATCACCCCCAACTTTCTCATATTTGAAGTCAATTTACAATGTATGGTTTTTTTTGTTTTTTTGTTTTGTTTTGTTTTGGTTTTTCAAGACAGGGTTTCTCTGTGGTTTTGGAGCCTGTCCTGGAACAAGCTCTTTTAGACCAGGCTGGTCTCGAACTCACAGAGATCCGCCTGCCTCTGCCTCCCGAGTATATTAGTGACAAAAATTTAAACATCAAGACTTTCAGACCAGGAGGCCCCTCTGGCATACTTCTACTGAGCTGGGTCCGTGATTTACACCTGTGACTCGAGCAGCTGGGAAGCTGAGCCAAGACTGGGCTACACACAGTAAGTTCAAGGCTAGCCTGAGCTACACAGCCAAGCCCTGTCTCAGAAAATAAAATAGCTGTATTATGAAAATTAGCCCTTGTCAATTCTGAAACTCTAAGAGTTCATTAGCTGTATAAATAATGGAATTCATAACCAGCGAGACAGACTACGACTGCTACGGCATTCAGCTGACTTCAGAAGATGATCAGAATTCTAAATGGCCAATTCCTATCTCACTAAGCTAATGTCTATTATCAGTTTTCTAAAAAAGGAAAAGGATGAAAAAGGAAGAAAAAAAGATTTTAGCAATCATTGGCAGCTCTTGTAAAGGATAAGGCCAAAGATGGATTAAAAACAAAAAAAAAAAAGTAAAACAGCAGTTGTGAAACGCTGCTATAGTGAGTCCCCTTACCTTTTCCTCAAAATAGTGTAGTAGGATAATTTTTTTTATTTAGGAATTTTCTTCCTGTGTTTATCGAAGTGATGTTTGTACTGCTAGCATAGTTAATTGTACAATAGAAGTTATAGTCTTTGTACTTCCCAAGTATGCAGCTGTAAGCTGCAGACTGCTGGATTAGGACAGGCAGTGACACTTGGGCAGTATCCAAGTGTCAAACTTGTAAATGCTTTGTAATTAGATGACTTTACTTAAACAACATAGATTATTTTCATGGAAAATGCTCAGATGATGGGACCCTATTCTTCTGGTTTAAATACTTCTAGTTTTTTGATTGACAATCCTCTAGTACTAAGTGATAGCTTGAGTAGCCTTTTAGGAATTACTTGTAAATAGCCTTGTAAATAGAGCATCTAATGCTACTCTTTCCGCTTCCTAGAGAGAAGCTGTACTGTTTCATCTGTCATAAATGTAAATATTCCCGCCAGTGGCATGTAGATGTATCTATCCTATGGAGTTCTTTCAATGAAGTGTTTTTTAAATGTGTAGTTAAACTCTGTGAACAATGAGCCAGGTCAGCGTGTAGCTGTCTTTTGGGCAGGGGTTGGGTTTATAGGGATAGATGCAGGGCCTTGTACATGCTAAGCAAGCTACAGTCAACGCCTAGCATAGATAGCTTTTATAAAGTCTGCAGCCACGAAACTCTCGTGTTTCATGACATAACACAAACACACACAAACCTTGAATTACCCTATAATCTACTAATATAATCTACTAAAATAAAAGCAATATATAAAAGAAACCTACCATGCAAATATTGTCGGCATACAGCTGGCTTCTAACAAAGCACTCTTCAAGATCACGGGCGCCCTAATGTGATCTGAACCTACTGTTAGCGCTTACCAACCAGTCTTCATGCTACTACATACAGGCTGCTTATTCGATCATCAGTATTGAGAGTCAGTGTTTCCTAATTCCAACTTAAAGTTTTAACATTAGTTTTTATTGCGTAATCAACTAGCTAGCAAATCTGTTAATTTCCAATGACAATAATTTGTGTTGCTACTTTTCTCCTACACTTTAAGGATACAACATTTAGCGTTTTCTGTTCTGTTTTATTGATATTTCTTTCTCAGTGCTCAACGGTTCTATGAGATGAACATAATGAGCTCCACTTCTGACTATCTTTGAATAGTCATGTTATGTTATCTAGTTGTAGTTTTTCTTTCAAATGCAGAGGAAGTTTTGGTTTAGTATATAGTAAAAGCAAAGGAGACACATTTTGGTGTGGGAGAATTGTCTGTATTCTGTCAATCATGTTTTAAATAAACGCTGATTGGCCAGGCAGAAAGTATATATAGGTGGGAAAACCAGACAGGAAGTAGAAATGATATAATGAGAACAGGAGAATTCTGGGAAGGAGGAAGTTGATTCCTCCCACTCCTGCCCAGATCACCGAAGCAGCAGGATGTGATCTGTCTCACTGAAAAAGGTTCTGAGCCACATGGCTAACATAGATCAAAAAAATGGGTTAATCAAGGTGAGAGAGTTAGCCAGTGAGAGGCTAGAGCTAATGGGCCAATCAGCTTTATAACTTAGAGAGCTATGTGTGATTTTTCTCTGGGACTAAACAGCTGGGGATACCGGGCAGGACAGAAAACCCCAACAAACGAGCCAGCCCCCTTGATGGTTAAAATCCACCCCCACCCTAACCCACCCCCACTTTGAGACAAGTTTTCATGTATCTATCCCAGGCTGGCCTCAACCTTACAATGGCGCCCAGGCTAACTCTGAACTCATCTTCTGCCTCTACCTCCTAGTGCTGGTTTGGAGGTATGCACAACCATGGCCAACTTTTCTTGATTTAGTCCACGATTATAAAGCAGTTTTTCTTAGATCACTTGCCATCTAGATTTCCTGTTGGGAAATATTATTATAGATTATTCTATCTTTTGGCAAATAGATTGATCACTCCCATAAGTGTAAAAGCCATGCTTACAAGAGATCATTGCAATTAGCAAAATGAAGTTAAGATGGTCATGGAGGCAGGTGGTGGCACGCACCTTTAATGCCGGCAACAGGAGGTGGAGGCAGGTGGATCTCTGAGTTCCTGGCCAGCCCATTCTACATAGAGTTCCAGGCCTGTATGGCTCGGGTATTATCTACATAGTTCTTTACCTAGCCTGTTAAAGCACATTTCCAAGTGTTCTGCAGAGTTTCAGGTTGCAGGCTTCTCTGAAATCATTTCTAGAATAAGGTTCCATACCCTCGCTATGATTAAGGCACTGTAACACATCACAACTAGACTTCATATAGTTTGTAACAATCACACAAAACAAGAGCTGAAGTTTAAATTCCATTTAAAAGGGATAGTCCTCACAGTACCAGTTGGTTGGTCAGAAAGGCTCAAGAAGGGATGACGCTCATCCTATTTACAGCCTAGTGTTCAGCACAGATCAGGACAACTCTGGAAGCACAATTGTGATGACTGACATCTTAGTCAACCCAATGGCCCCAGGTAACACCACTCCAGGCTGATTGTGACTGCTCCTCAGAGTGTACCATTCTTCTAGTGTTTGAGCAAAGACTTAGTAAAAATTGTGACCAACCAGCTGATGAATTCTGAACTGCCATGCAGAATAAATTACACTCAAAGGACCTAAGCACGGAACTGGACTCTTTCTAAACAGATAGATCACTGCAACTCTTACATGGACAGTCAAGATGAAAACACTAAGGCTTCCAATCAACTTCAAGCTTCATTTTCCTTTTGAATCATCTTTGCTTAGTGTTTTAGCATTGTCAACACCCACTGCTGGTCAACCAAGAAGGACCTTCTGCATCCTGTGCGCGGCAACACTGGCCTCATCTTCTGAGTCAGACTCACTCTGGGACGTGGAGCTGTGCGAGGCAGAGCTGCAGGGGGAAGAGCATTCTGGAGAACACAAATAGTGCATCAGGGGGAGGCGGTACTTCCCACAGAAGTCCACAAACTTAATTTGTCTGACACAGCAGTCAAAATAGACTCCGCCACATTTTGGGTTTGGGCAATTGCTGGCTGAACCCAAGTATCTAAGGAGATTCCCAGGAAGATCATAGGGAGTGTAAGAAACACTTCGGATCTTAATGGTCCTTGCAGCTAATTCCAGAAGAGTTGGAGGGTCATATGTTAAATCCCTAACAAAACGGACAACCAATGGATTTCCTCGCAAACTCAACTCTTCCAGATGAATAAGGTTGAGGATCTCACGAGGCAGATATGTCAGTAAGTTATTGTGAAGACTCAGGGAACGAAGGGAATGCAACTGTGAGAGCTGAGGAGGCACACTCTGGATTTTGTTGTCACATAACACCAAGTAATTCAGAGAAGGAAGATGTGCTAATTCTGGTGGGATTTCTTTAATGAAGTTTCCTCCAAGGTATAAGCATTCTAAACTCTGCAAGTTCTCGATCTCGGCAGGGATGCTCTGCAGCTGGTTGCCGCCCAGGCTGAGGGTCTGCAGCGCCCGCAGCTCCAGCAGCGAGGGGGGCACCTCCTGGAAGCAGTTGCCGCTGAGGTTGAGAACCTGGAGGCTGCGGCAGAGCGGCAAGCGGGCCAGGCCCTTGGGCAGCGAGCCTGGGCCGCCGAGCCGGTTGTTCCTGGCCAGCAGCGTGCGCAGGCCGCTCAACGTCAGCAACTCGGGCCCCAGCGCCCTGAGCGCGTGGCCGCTCACGTCCAGGAGCTGGAGGTGCGGGAAGCCGCCGCCCAGCGCCCGCAGGCCGCTCAACGTCAGCAACTCGGGCCCCAGCGCCCTGAGCGCGTGGCCGCTCACGTCCAGGAGCTGGAGGTGCGGGAAGCCGCCGCCCAGCGCCCGCGGCAGCGACGTCAGCCGGGTGTAAGGCAGCAGCAGCCGCAGCAGCGCCTCCCGCGAGCCGCGCCGCTCCTCCGCGCGCGCCTCCAGCTCCGACTCCAGGGCCTTGGCCGACGCCTTAAGGCGGGACCAGTTGAGTTCGGCATCCCCGATCGCGGCCTCCTCCATCCCGCCCAAAGCCCAGGCTGCCGCCGCCGCCGCGACCCAGCGGCGCGCCCCGGAACCTCACGCCGAGCGCGGCGTCAGAAGTGGCCTAGAGTGTTTATATTCTTGATTCTGATGAGATCTTGCAGTTCTAACTCCTTCCGTGGTCATTGAAATACAGAAAAGCACTTGAGAGAGACAGGGTAAAATAAGCATTGGGGTGGAGCGCCTCTCGTTATGCCCTCATGGAGAATCCAAACTGAGATAAAAACTGAGCAAAAACAGGCCAGTGGAAATATAGCTACACATGTACCCAACCAACATCGCTGGCCTCCTTCCAAACTACAGGTGCTTGTAATCTATCCGTGAATGGCTGGTACTTTCTACCTTAGGGTGTAGGTGGTGTCTCGGTACAGCCTATTGTTATAAACGAGAATCATCAAGACGAATCTTCTGATGGGCAGAAACCTGGCTATAAAAGAGGCAAATCATGAACTGGAAGCATAAGACTTCCAATGCAAAAAATAAAAACTAAACCTGTTTACATAAAACACAATCAGTCAAGAGACGAGTAGGAGGGACAGACGTAGTAGTGCTTTATCTGTATCTGTCACACAGTTATGTACTTTTAGAGCAGTAGGAAACAGGAACGCGCCACTTGCAGGTTTGCAGGACTGCACTTGAATGCAATGCCCTCCAGTCATCTGAACGGGTGTTATTATGTCCACTCTATGCAGACCTCCCTTTTTCTCCACCTGAGAGGAAATGGCAGCATTTGTAGATCATTGTCCAGCCTTGTCATCCTCACGACACAGGGACAACAATCTGAGATGGAGGAAGGCAAATGCTTGATCAGTGGAGAAGGGGAAAAGAATCTGATGATTAGTTTTAGTTCATTGAGCAATGTATTTAATCCCTATAAGTTCAAGTTTTTTTTCTATATACAATAAAAGTATCTGTAAAATAATGGAAGAAATAAAAGCAACACAAAGTAACTTACTGATACTTTGTTGACCTCCATTTATACATCGTGAAGGAGGAGTCAATATATTCTAGTATGCTTATTTCTGGACAAGGAAAATGAATTCCAATAAAATAGAGCATATGGTTCAGAAACTATTACTATTAGCCACCTTAAAGTTTTCTTTTTTTCTTTTCTTTTTTCTTTTTCTTTTTTTAACCATTCCTGAGATCTTTCTGAGTATGAGCAAGCTTCATAAGTGGGAAGCTCACAAAGAGAATACTGATATGTTGTCCTGGTTTTTAAAAGAGCAGTTGTTAAGTCAATTCACACACTGTGTCTATACTATATACAAGAAAGTTCCGACAATAGCTACCACACAAGAAGACATGATAGTTAGGGCGCTGATCCAGAGAATACACTAGTTAATAAAGTTAACTTTATAAAGTTTACTTGAGAAAATATAATGCACTATAAATTAAAATATGACACCATTTCAGAAAACCCAGTGTTGAACTGAGGAATTTTCATTGTCATACAGTCATTTGCTAATACTTAGGACACGATTAATTCTTTACAAGTCTGAAACAAAGAAGAGAGAAGAAAAACAGAAGAAAAAATCATGCACAATCAAAGATGCCTTATAAAATTTAAATAGCTAAACCAGAGTTGAGTGTTAGCAACAACTGATAGAGAGAAGACATCTCAGTGTGCCTGAGAGAGTCACTTAGACAGCAGCATAACCAAACCATCCATTTTCTCAAGGGCACACTTCTCTAGGAACTGCAAAACTGATGGTTGGAGAAAGATCTCATTTCCTGGATGAGGCTCTAATCCTATGTGGTCAGCTCTAAATACTTGCAAATAAGGGCAAAACTAACTGGAGTGTGTGTGTGTGTGTGTGTGTGTGTGTGTGTGTGTGAGAGAGAGAGAGAGAGAGAGAGAGAGAGAGAGAGAGAGAGAGAATAGAAGTAATTGTGAAGATGAGATGGGGGCAAGGGGGGAGCTGGAGAAGTGAGAAAAAAGAATTACACAGAATGTGAAGACACTTTTTTTTTCCTGTATGAGCTCAAATAAAGAAAGAGAAGGAAGCAACAGTTTGGGAGCTGAAGTTGGTATCATTTCTTAATTCACTTTCTAAAACCATCCCTTCCAATCCCCCAAGAACGCTGAATTTCCAGCTGACAGTATCCCTGAGAACAAGACCTTTACCCTAGAATTCTCATTGTTGTACTTCTTTTCTTCTTCCTTTTTGTTTCTTTTTCTTCTTCTTCTTCTTCTTCTTCTTCTTCTTCTTTTCAGTTAGTTTTGTTTTAAGAATTCACCTTCACATCACTACACAATAAAGGAGAACAGCAATTTGGTGTCCCATGCATAAGCTGTGATTTTTCCTGCTGAGATTATTAAGGTTCAGCTGTGCACAAATGGACACATCTTATCTGAACGTTCATGGAACTGTTCTATAAAGCATTTGCACATGACTAAGTCTGTGAGGGATTAATCCATCACACCTTAATACATAAATCTACATTTCTGAAAATCTTGTTGGTAGGATTACTGCTATTCTGTCCTCCAGGTAACAGTAGTCTTGGTTCTGTCTTCTCTAAAAGGCTGCTCTGAAGTGTGCACAATACAAAATGATTTATGTATTTTGTGATTTACTCTCTTTGCAGGGAATATAATTTTAACATTGAAGACTTTAAAGTCCTAAACATACATTAGGCATGTTAGGTTTAGAGTAACCTGTGTGGTGTTATGTCTAGCGTGTGTAGTACATAAAGGTCAGAATGGGGGGGGGGCAAATCAGAAAGAGGCACCACTGATAAAGGGGATATCACTTCCATCCTTTCGTCTGGTCTGCGCTGTGAAATTTGTTTCAGTAATTCTGGTAGCCAGTTTCTGGTTCCAAGATCCTCATTAATGAAAGAGACACAAAACATTGAGAGGTAACCAAGTCATAGATCCTAGGGTAAACTTTTAATAAATGTTATAATTCTACACAGGAAATCTTTTTGTTGGTTTTTTTTTTTGAAGCCAAGAAAATGAAATCTAAGTCTGTATTTAATCTTAAACTAAAGATAAAATCTAGAATATATATTGTGAGTTTGAACATCATGAGTGTGTACATATGCATGTATGTGTTTGTGTTTTGTGTGTGTGTCTCTGTAAATGTGCATGTGTTTTGTGTGTGTGTGTCTGTATATGTGTATATGTTTTGGGTGTGTTTGTGCACGTGTGTATGTATTTTGTTGTGTGTGTGTGGTTTCTCTAAAATGAAGCTAATGGCATTAATTTTATAATCTGATTTATAAGCTAACACCACTTTTCTCTGAACCTTAGTCCTTCATATTTGATAGTATCACATAAATTAACTCACAGAAGAACACAATATAATCTTAGTTCTCTCTTAAAAATGAGGAAAGCTGAGAGATTAATGAATATGTTGCTTAACATCACACTGTTGTAGAGTTTGAATACAAGCAGATTTAGAATTTGAATTATGTACATCCTGGACATACAGTTATACTCATAATCACTGGAGATTTTTCACGCTTAGAATTCCTGACTAAATAGAGTGCATATATTCAATGGTACATGCTCAAAATTTACTGATATGCTATGTAATTTAAAATGTTTCAAGAAAGAATAGATGACTGGGAGAATATTGTATGATAACGCTTTTCTTTTCCCAGAGGGAGAATTATAAGCCCATGAGAGATATAGTTTTAAGACATTTTAAATAAATTTTTGGCTGTTCATTTATGTGTATGTGCATGTGCCAGCTTGGGTTTGTTCAGCATGAGTGAGTAGATGCCCAGAGAAACCAGAAGAGGGTAGCAGATACCCTGGAACTGAAACTGCAGGCAGCTTTGAGCCAACAAATCTAGACGGGACCAGATTCAGACACTGAGTCTGTGCCTTTGGAAAAGGAACAAGAGCTTTTAGTTGCTGAACTATTGCTCCAGCCCCAAGAGATACTATTAATTGCTAACTAGAAACCGAATGGATTGATGAAAACACACTATTGTGTTTCATGCAAATTATCTTCATCCATTAGCATATAAGAACACATCCCTTGCTCATTAGTCTTAAACTAGCATTTGTTGATCATTCTATGGACACACAGCACCACATTGCATTGCTTCATTACCTGTATCTCTAAGTCACATTTACCCGACAGTTATACAGCGGACAAAATCACAAATGCCATTCTTCTGTTTAACCCTGCTCTAACAGAAGGACATTTTATTGTCACTCTTAACTGAGGTGATTGGATTATTCGATGCACTGTCTGCACTTTTCAACATTAATAACTTAGGAACATGTCTGAGAGATTTAGCCACTACATGTATGAAACCAAAATGAGTTCTCAAATCACACAGAGATACCTCAGCATTGCACTGGGTTTAAGAGCTATTAAAGGAAATTTAACAGATCAGTTTATAAAATCCTAGAAGACTCTCCTTCAAGAAGTATGTTTACATGTCCAATTTTTGACTTCACATTTTTGTAAGTTTAATCTCTTTTTCTCATGCAAAAGTGACTAGCATGTGATCAGCTACTTTACTTGAGTAAAATATCTTTAAGGTCCTGAAACTTATGAACTCCCAGACCTCAGGAACAAAGTCTGCTTTATAGTGATTTATTTCTTATGAGATATAAAAGCTCAATTCTAATTATGAGGATATAATAAATTACCTATTTTGTTCTAACAGAGAAGATCTCAGTCTATATTCAGACTGCCTCAAAACTCATTATGTAGTCCAGGATAGCCACAAATCTATGACAACCTTCTTGTCTCTGCTTCCTAAATGTTGGTATTACAGTATAGAGTCATCATAATTACTTTGGGATGTGATTTCTTAAATAAAAGAATCACTCAACCTCAGCCCTCTGACCAACTATTGTGATTGTGCTAAAATATTTAGTTAAGAGGTAGGATATGTCCTGGTGTGTGAGTAGAAGTCAATAGATCTGTTGGGTAGACACATGGGAGAGTGGTAAATAGGTATGGACAAGTAGATGTTGAAGGATATACGTAATCAGTAGGCAGATGATGATA